GCTCGCTGTTTCCGAGGCCTGCAGCCCTGCTTCTTCCTTAAAAGCCGTGGTGGGCATCTCGGCTTTGCCACGCTCATGTCCTAGGTTGGGGTTTAAGTGATTTCTGAACTGTTGGTTGTGTGTGGAGGTCTTCCTCTCTCGTCCCAAGTTGTCGGCCTGGCCCACGCTGCTGACAGCTACCCTGTGGTGGTCAGCGCCATTTCAGTAACCGTAAGCCTTGCCTGCTGCCTTTGTGCTTGTAAAGCTTGTCATTTGCAAGCTTCTCGGTCTCACCGGGAAGTAAAATGGCTCCAAAGCAAAAAAAAAAAAAAGTCAGACCCTCATATTAGGTGTGCTGGGAAGTGCTGTAGGCACCTTTGTGTTGGCCATTGGCTAAGAGCTACCCTTCTGCTGGGTAACACCATTGGGATGGTACAGAGCAGCTGTTGGGAAAGGTTTTGTGTTCAGAGTGTGACATGTTAATGATCTTTAATTGCAAAGCTGTAGAATTGAGATGGTTTATGTTTATTGTTAATGTTTTCTCTAACTTCCTGTCCTTAAAGGTTATCAGGCTTTATGAATTTATTAGCCATTTGGCTCAAATTTATGAGTTGCTCAGCATTCTTTTTTTGTAGTCTGTCATGTTTTAGCTTTTTCATAAAAAGGCAAGGTTGGATGATTGACTTAACTTGCTATGGCTGTGTTACTGGGAAGTTATTCTGATCTCCTGTGCTTTGCTTATCTTTTTGAAAGTACCATTTCATTCTTGTCTACGTGGAGTATTTCACAAGTCGTGTCTGGGTTTTTCCCTTTCTTTCATAGGAACGAGAACTTAAGGCTGCTGCAGACAGTGTCTTATCTGAAGTACGGAAGAAACAAGCAGACACAAAGAGGATGGTGGACATCCTGCGTGCGTTAGAAAAGCTTCGGAAACTGCGAAAAGAGGCTGCTGGCAGGAAAGGTTAATTACGAGATTTTTACCAAACTTTTTTAATTGCGCACATAGGGGATAAGATGATGTGTCTGCCTTGTGCTGACTGGCAAGGTGCAGCTTGAAAAAGCTGTTTCTTTATCAGTGATTTTTAGTTACATTGTTATGCAAGAATAGCTATAAAATGCTGAATACAGTGGTTGTGTTCCTGCGTTTCCAAGCTCTTTCTTGGTAGAAGACTTATTCCAGTAAGATAGTTTTTAATGAGGTTAAGCTCATGTTCCTCTGAGATTTTGCCAGCACCGCTCTCGAGTCTGATAACAGAGCCCCGTCTGAATTTGAAAATTTAAAATTAATTCTCTTTCTGTTTAGGTGTTTGTCCACCTCCCTCAGCAGATGAAGCATTTGAAAATCAGGTGGAGAGTCTCAAAACGTTGCTCAAAAATCGCACAGAGCTGTATGAAGCTGAGGAAAGAGCATTAAGAGTTATGTTGGAGGGAGAACAGGAGGAGGAAAGGAAGAGAGAAATGGAAAAGAAACAGAAGAAGGAAAGGGAAAAACTACTACAGCAGAAACTCGAAATTGATTCCAAGCTGTTTGGGGAGCCAGGTAAATTCTGCATGCCATACTTAACAATGTTTTTCCATGCCAGGCCCCCATCTCATAGACACTGGGTTTAAAACGCAGGCACAGAAATAGTTGAGAAAGAAAGCATCTGCTGGAGTAATTTATGATCTGAGGAAAAGATGGGATAAACGTAGTTGTGCTCTTAACACATGTGATGTAAGAAGAACTGTTTAGCTCTTCAGCGTAGACTGCAGTAAATCTCAAGCCAATTTCATAATGTTCTGCAAGAAGAGGTTGTAGATTAAGCTAAAGTGAGAATAAACAGAATAGACTGAAGACTTCCAGCACCCAACAGATGCTTTTGTCTGGTGGTTTAGTAAGTGCAACTTGGGTAATCTGTAAGGATTCAGTGTTCATATGTTCCCCTTGTTTAGAGGATGGAGGCAGGAAATGTTTTGCTAGTCTTGACTTGCCCCTGACAGCTCTGCTAAGGATGAGGAGACGTGCAAAACAGGTAAATAGTCCTTAACACATTACACAGGGAAGTGATTTCAGGTTAGAGCTGGGGAGCAGCAAATGAGTTAGCAAATTTGGGGCTTCTAAGACTTACTAGAATTGAAGGTCTTTCTGGTTTATTGAACAATTTCTACATTTCTGTTTTAACAGATGAATTTCCTCTAGCCCATCTATTGCAGCCCTTCAGAGAATATTACTTACAAGCTGAGCATTCTGTAGCAGCTTTAATCCAGATCAGGTAAAACTAAACAAAGTCTTTATTTTATTATCAAAGATGACAAGTATTGTTTGTGAAGTTTGTAAAATTATGGTCCGTTTTGGTTAGTTAACTTCCAAATATAGTTATGCAATGAATTGTCCTGGTTTCTTTCAGCAAAGGGTCAAGCTTCTCGATAGAGTTGTAACCAACAGATGCCTTGTGAGGCAGAGTGCACTTCCATGCATAACCATTCCATTTAATAGAATAGTACATACAATTTTCACATTTGTGTTTTGAAAAACAAGTTTCAGAGTACAACTTACAGTGTTTTGAGTATTGATCAGTATGGAAGAATACCTGTTTGGGTATATAATAAATCTTATTACCAAATTCATACCAATTCTCCTCTCAAACAACGCTCTCTCTGTTAAAGGCATGAATGGGATCAGTACTTGGTGCCAGCTGATCACCCCGAAGGAAGCTGCATCCCTCCAGGATGGGTTCTTCCGATTCTCCCCACAAATGACACTTGGGCCACTGCTGTCAGATAATTTAGTAAGGAATTATTTTAATGTTGGAGGAATGTTTCTTTATAATTACGTGTGTAAATATGAGAGGGTCCGAAGAGGGAATCTCATCCCCTGTTTCAGTAGCCAGGTACTGGATTGTCTTGAAGAAGAGTTAAGAACTGGTTTTGCCATCTGACTCTGCAGCGAAATATTTGAGCAAGCCCAAAGCTGCTAGGCCTCTCGTGGTATGGAATTACAGTCCCACTATGAGTTTTTGTTAACAAATCTCAATCTTAATAAAGAAACATTGCTGACAAGGGTATTTGTGCCAGTATTAACATCCTATTTTTAGTGGCTTTTATCTTTATAAGCTTAAATTCAGATGATGACATCTCCAGAAATGAAGAAGTTAAAAAAAAAGAGATCATTAGTAAACATGTTTTTCTTCTTAAATGAAGCACGTCAAGCATCACTGTCAAAATAGTTCCTGTATTTTTGTGTGTAGAAACAAACCTATTACAAGTTTAAACAAATTCTGAAGTACAAACAAGACAGGGTTTTTCAAGGTTGATTAAAGCAGCTGTTGACATTTTACTTTTGTGGACTAAAACTGGTACTACTACGTGGAAAAAATTCCCAGTTGTGGTGAAATAGGTCAGACAGCCGTGTGAATATATATAAATTTGATGAATAAGCCTGCTGGGAAAAAAAAAATCTGAAGTCTAACCTGCTGTAATTGTTTTTGCCTATATAGCTATTTTTGTACAGGGACAGATCATGTATATAATATTTGATTAAAAAACACAGTTCTATTTTGTAAGTTGTTTTTTTGTACAGAATAAATAGAGAAAAATGGAATTTTTTTTGGTTTGAAGCGGTTTTACTCCAAGGGAGAGATTTGTTTTAGTACTTGGCATCAAATACGATTCCAGTGTGGAGAGAATTGCTGGCAAAAGGTTTGTGTGAAGGAACTTCTCCCTCCTACAAGGTGACAGAGGCATCTGATTTCAAAGCCTTCCATCTTCTGGGCAGTTTGCTGGGAACAGCCATGGGCCGTATGGGTTTGGGGCTTTGCTGGTCTACGTAGATTGTCGTGGCATCTTCCCAGAGTTGCGGTCATTATTCTTGCTTAGCCCTAATATGTGGGAATGGGTTTAATCTCTCCAATTCCTTACCTCTTCGCATCGGAGCATCATGTAATTCATGGAGGAGGCAACACATAATTGCCTAAATTCAACACTTGGGCCCTATGTGTAACGTTAATAGTTTCTTGGCTGAAGCTTTGCATTGGTTTCTGTCAGTAAGAGTGTACCAACTAGTAATTTTTGATAGAGTTCGAATTAATCTGGGCGCAGAAGTTTGCAGTTCTTGTTCACGTGTATATCGCCTACCTATAGCACCCCAAAATACAGATTGCCGTGAAGTCCTCTGGAGGTAGGGGTTCTGATTTGCACATCTGTACATCCTCCCATCCCCGCTGTCACTTCTAGCATCGCATTACTCCAGCACCTCTGGCTGAGTCAGATCCTGGGGAGTCTTCACCTGATGAAAAAGCAAGAAGTTAAATAGCATAAAACCAATTGCAGTATCAACGCGTTCGGTTCAGGAGGCTTAGTGACCAGAGGATGCTCTGCTTAAATAGTTAGGCTCCTTATCCCATCAGCATGTCGATGGGACAGGCTAACCGCTTAAGCTACGATAATCTTAAAACTGTCAAAGTCAGATGCTTGTCTGACACTGCAAGAATTTAAAGAACTGAGCAGTAGCTAAGCAGGCAGTGTAGAAGCAACCCTGTTCTCCCTGCCCTGTGAGAAGAGCTCCATGATTTCATCTGATGGTAAGGATAACTTCAAATTGTTAATAAAAATAAGACTTAAAAATGCCAGGGGATGATGTATGTTTAGGTATATTTCAATCCCTCAGGCTTTCTGTGGTTTGTTCTACATGTTTGCTCTTGTCTAATGACGTCTGCATTGAAATGTTTTATATTTTTAGTGAGGAAGATGTTGAAACCACAGATGGAAGAGGAATCTTTAGAATCTTAACTCATAAAATACGTGGAGACAGGGTATTAGTTCTTAAAACAACCTTGTGTATTCAGATTTAAAATTCAAATTTGTCTGACTTTAGTATTTCCGACTATTTTTACATTTTTAAAAATTACAATAGCCCAGAAGAAAAGAGGGATTGGCTATGGGTTTCTGAGACTTATTTACATCCTATTGCTTCCCTGGTCGCCATGCCGTTCAGATTTCTCACGCTTTTAAGGCACATCCTCTTCCTGATACGAATTTAATCGTTTGCCAGCCTGTATCTTGGGTGTGAAAGCGGGCAGGGCTGGTGTGAAGCACATGAGGAGTCTACACCTTTCTGGTGTGAGCTGCTGTTTACAACTGACCCTCTTTTATTCTTGTCTAGTAGCATTTTTGTTGTCATCGCTCCTCACCTCAATGTACCTCTTTTTTTCTAAATAGTGGGTTTGGGAATTAACATTTATGGGAGCCTCTCTTATTTATGCAGTGAAATACAGTGAGTTATGGTACCATAATATCTCCGTGTTTTCTTTGTCATGGCTTCAGACATGTTCGCTACCCATCTCTATCTCTTAAAATGGCATTTAAAAACAAGTAAAGCCATTCCAGGTGACGGATGACCAGATAACTCTTGAGCTGATTTAAAGGAGGGTCCGTCCCTCTTGCGGGCAGGGGCTGCACGGCCACGCCGAGGAGTTGGGAGAAAGCTGGGGGAAGGAGGCTTCACTTACAGATGTTTTCATGCGTTGTCTGTCAGTGCTGACGTGGATTGTAACTTAGGCTGAGCCCTCTTAGGCTGGGGAGCAGATGGTCTGGCTCCGTGCAGGCTCCCAACACGTTGCATGTGTCGCGTGTTAGCAGCAGTACATGTGCGGGAGCCGCAAAGCTGGTTAGGGGCTCTGCCTGCGCCACTGCCCCGGCTATTAAAGGCTCCTGGCGTAAGCAGGTGAGTGACAACCCTCTTGTAATTCTGATAAGACCAACTGAGCTGCGTCAAGAGACGGTGCACGTCACTGTTTGTGGTCTGGAAGCAGTTTGTTAGTCCTTTGCTAATGTAAGAAACTACCTTGAATGCCATTTCCCATTATAGACCCTTATTTTTGCATTAAATGGGCAGCTTTTTCTTCCTTGTCTACATTTGTCTGCTTACTTTCTTTTTGTGGAGTGTTTATCCTCATTGTCATAGAAGCCATTTCTTTTTAAAGGAAAAAAAAAAACAATTGGTAAAAGCTCTTAGGGATTTCACACCAAGTATTTACTGTTTCTCTTGAGGATGACTGCTGAGGACTTCTGCAGGTACCAGAACGCAGCGGAGGACTGACCATCAGCTCTTGCCAGTTGACAATATATAAAGGAAATTATTTTGCACGCTGTCATCACTGGGAAGCTGGGGACTCGAGGCTTCGTGCAGCAAGTAGCGGCTTTTTACTCAACTGAGACATTTATACAGAGCCGATGGCTGCGCTGTTGCAGTAATATTTTCCATGTCACCATTGCCAGTTCATCAGAAATTTTTCTCTCCCCTGCTATTTCTGATCTAAAAACATCACCACACTTAAAATGAATAGATGGTTCTGAAAAGCTCATCTGGCCTTAAAATGGCTCGTTTGACATCCGTCTGACAGGTAGCTTGCCTGATGCACCAGCCTCCTTGTCTGGCTCTCGGTAAGCTGCTGATGCAGCGCTGGAGGGGATGCCCTCGCCCCAGCTCCCCGGGGCTGCTCTGTGGGATGGCTTTGCAACACGTAGCCATGTGCATGAGCTCCGCAACCACGGGTGCTCTCGGGTCATGCAGAGAGAGACCTGCGAGGTGTCCTCCTTGGCTGCGGTTTCTGCCTCTGTAACTGGAAAAAATGCTTGGTCTGTCCCCAGTTTGGGAAAGGGAGCATGCGATGGGCAGCGGAGGGAGAGGGAGAGGTAGGAGGAGGGATGGAAAGCAGCGGGGCATGCACAGAGGTGGAAACGGAAGAGAAAAAAGCTCAGGATCTCTGCCAAATGAAGCTGTAAGCTTGGTCAGGTTCTGCTGACTCAAGCTCAGAATAGCAAAGGTTGGTTCAGACAAATATTCTGGGTATCAGTAATTAAGAGTTTGCAAATCTAGGCATTGCACTAAGTGGTTTTTACTTCGCTGTCAGCATCTCTAAGGGCTGCGTTCCTTTTACGGGCATCACTTGAAATAGCTCATTTTTCTCACCTTCCACCCAACTAAAAAGGTGCTAGTCCTGCCTTTTACAGTTTTATTTCATCCCTTCCTCTGGCAGCAAGAAATCGGGCAGCGGCAATGAGCTACCTGGATGAAGTTCCCTTCCGCACAGCCAGGAGCCTCGACGGGGACTTGGGGGGAGAAAACTCTTTAATCACCGCCCCGGCCATCGAGCTCCCCGACTGCGCCGACATCCTCATGAGCACCATGGTGAGTCCCCTCTGCTCGCACCCGCGCCCGGATTCCCTTCTGGGGGGATGCTCAAAGGGATGTCGGTGGTTTTCTTTTCTCGTGAAAGAAGGGAAGGGAAACCTCTCCTCCTAATTGATCTCCTCTTAATTAACTGGTTTGCAGCAGGAGTGGGAGGAGGTGAGGATGATTTCTAGTGGGTGGGAGTGAGGAAGGGGTTGGGTTTTTTTTTAATCCCGTCCAAGCAGGAGGGTTGGGTCTTTCTGGGATAGGAGGACAAACTTCAGGCTCTGCTCTGGGATTGTTTTCTACTCTAGACTCATCACCATCTCATTTATTAATATTTATTAAATATTTATT